TCAAACTGATATTTTGTTTTGACAGTAATATATCTTCTATTAAGTCCATTCAGATACTGTTTTTCAGTTCTTGAAAGTTACACTCAGATTTTTTTTTATATCTTTTTCTTGTCTTATTGTGTTCATGTTTTTCTTTAAATCCTTGAGAATAATTATTATAGCTGCTTTAAAGCCCTTGCTGCTGTTCTGGTTATCCCTGCAATTAGTGGTTGCTTCCTATCAGTCAATTTTTAAGGTTATGGATCACATGTCTAGTAATTTTTGACTGAGTGCTGGACAGGCAGTTCTGGGTTGAACTGATGGTTCAACCAATGGAGTTGCTCTGGCAGATGGCTCATTTACTTGTGGATCATTTTTGGTCTTTAGGGGCTTGGTTTTAAGCTCCGTTAGGGTGAGTCTAGGACATTCTTTACTCTGGGACTAGTTTAGTCCTGAGACAGGAACATCATTCTTCTCTGATCTTTACTGAATGCCCCAGTGACCAGTGAAGCCTCTTGACTCTCGCTTGTAAAAGTATGGACATCTCCCAGCTCCGTGTGACCTTTGGGTATTTTTTTTTTTTTTAGCTTAAAGCCTCCCATTCTACTTTTGCCTGGCTTGGTGATCTTTCTCACTATACATGTTTGGCTTATTATTCAACAACAGACCCCAGGTTTATATAGTCTTTTCTTTGTAGAGCTTCCTCTTATTTGGTATTCTACTCCACAAATTCTAGCTGTTTCAGCTCTGTAAAGTTTGATCTTGTCTTCTCAATTAGGCTGTCAGTGCTCTGCTCAGTCATCCCTTTCTACATCATGATCTGAGAATGCCCTCAGGCAGAAAGCTGAGTCAAGTGTAGGTTTCACTTCCTTTGCTTCTGTTCTCCCAAGGATTACAGTCCTGTGTTGTCTGTCATCCAATGCCTGGAAATAGTTGTTTAATACATATATATATTTATTTTTTAGTTTTCTAGTTGTCCACAGTGGGAAGGTAGGTACTGTTACAGTTACCCCCTCATTCTGGAAACATAAATTTATTATAAATGCTATGCTTTGACATTTTTATAAAAATACTCAGAAATAATGTTCTTGGCCATTAAATATTTCATTAAACCAAATAACTTGCCCCATCAACATCCAGAGACTAGAAAACTGCCTAAAACTAGTTCTACGCACCTCAAAATAGGTATGTACCTCACATACTAAATCCTGATTTCTTAGGTAAAACCTAAGACTATCAGTCTAACCAACAGTGTCATATAATGGGACTGATTTTCTGTCCAGCAGTGACACTGAAAAGTAGTTGTACTATAAATCAGAGGTTTCCTGATGATAGCCAGACCCCAGAATGACTCCTGACTACCCCATTAAGTTCTCCAGGCTGTAGGGAACAATGTATAAGATGCTGGTCACAACCACTTGCTATCTGGGAGATGACTCCCCATCTTAGACAGCTTCTGTGAGAGTCTATCTAGGGCTTGGTAAACTGTATGACACTGAACTAGTTCCATTAATTATTTCTGACCAGTTGGAAAAAACAGATCGGCTCAGCACAGGCCAAATTCTGGTGTGCTTTTCTCAGGGACACTGTCCCATGATCTTTTTTTTTTTTTTTTTTGGATGTCAGAAGTTAAATGAGATTCTGGCACATTTCCATGAGGTACTATTTTATTTAAAAAGACACCTTAAGATAACTGTATTGAATTATATCATTTCAAATACAAGGTCTTTGTGTACTGCTATGTTTCTTTTTTGTGTTGGTATTTTACCTCCTTCCTCTCTTAGGAAAACATAGTAAATTCTCAGTAGTCTTAAAAATAGAACGCTAAGTTCAGAATAACTCCCACTTAAAAAAAAAAAAAATTTATCAGGAGGCAGAATAAGGAAACAGGAGCCGGGGGTGGGGGGGGGAACCTCTGGGAATTAAAGAAGTAGGATATATCTATTCTCTCTTTAGGCCAAGTCTCATCTGGCCCTCACAGAACTTGTATCACATTTTCTAGAAGCTTATATCTCCCCTCAGCCCACAGAGAGGGACAGAACAGCAATCACTTTGGTGGACATGGGATTACTTTGGGAAAATCCAGGTACTGTGGCACTTAGGAAAAAAAAAAAAAAAGATGATCTCATCACTTAGGAAGAGCAAACTTTTTCTAAATCACACCAGAAAAGGTAATAGATAAAGAAAATCATCTTTTGAAGGAAACAATTGTTAGGTAGAAGACCTTTACCTGTCGCCTGTCCATTGTTGCCTGCTAAGTGCTGACCCAGAATGGAACATGACAACACGGAAGTTCCATATAGCTCTTGTAGCTATTATAACTAAGTAGAGAACACATTCTATTTGCCACTGGGAATGGGGTGCATCTTTTGAAGTCAGGGTTTTGATGTCGTCAATTGTGTCTTTCACACTTACAGGGTGGTGGCTACCCCATCTGCTTCTGCTTCACCCTTGTGATAGCTGAGATCTCAATATTTCTAAGAGGCATCTCAAAGGACTGAGGGTTCATAATACCCACAAGCATTACCCCAGAACATTTTAGAATCACCAGTGCCTGACCTCTGGTTCACAGCAGTGTAGTCAGACTCTAGCAGGGGTGCCCAGGTACCGATATTTTTGTTAAAGGCCTCAAGTGATTCTAACAGGTAGCCAGGATTGAGAACCACTGTCTTAGACCAATAATTCATGTGAAATCGGATAGGAGGGAATTACACAAAGAAGAGTTTCAGTGGTCTTCTTCATCTTCTGCTTAGCTCCTTGTACCTCCCTTGACATTCTTTTTGCCCAATTTAAACTACCCATCCCACTGTGTCCTCATCAAATTTCTATCCCTGAGAATAATCCATCAATTCTGAAAATAAAATGCTCAAATAGGATATGCTCTACAGTCTAGGATTTTCCAGTGATTTAATTATCTAATTACTAGAGCCGGCTGCCAAGCACAAAAGATTTCATTCAGTTTCACTATTTTATAACACAGTTCAAAGAACATTTGAATTTCTAATTCAATTTTTGTTCTTTGGAGACTCCTCCACGGAGTTCCGTATATTTCTAATGATAGTTCCATTCTTGGACTTATAATCACGTTGGGGTTGCACTTCCTTTTCAGTGTATAACACATACGCCGAAGGAGAATCAGTGCTGAGATGGCTTAATTATTCTAAACTGGTTTTGTCTTAAACAGACAGACTCCCCTGATTGAAAAGACAGGAAGGAAGGCTGATGGGGACACAGGAAATACAAAGACTGAGGTAGAAACAACCACCATCGGCTGGGAAACAAAATGTTTAAGCCTCCCCTATGTCTCTGCTCTTTAGAACTGCACACACGTCAAAGCTCAAGAGAGTATTTGCTTTGTTCTTTATAACCCCCCCCCCCCCCCCGCCCCCGAGCCAGAGAGGCCGAGCAATCTCGGGGCAATAAAGGAACCTGTGTGGTTAAGATAGCATTCCCAGACCTTGACCGAAGAACCACATTGCTTGAGGATGGATAGTTCTGAAAGGCGGGTTGTGGGGAACCCCCCACCCCTCACTGGCTGGAAAACCAAACAAGGCCAGGGTGATGCTACAGGCACACATGTCACCCTCCATATTGAATGAGCCACACTTCAGAGGAAGCCTGGTACTTAGACTAAAGCAATTCTACCTACCCCCCACTCCCCCAACCTCGCCATGCCAACACCTGCTTGCTTTGGAAAGCACACTCAAGATTTAGGAATTCTTCTTGTGAGGGTCCAGGGAGGAGAGATAATTCCAAATGGCCAGCAGGTGGCACTAATGGGCAGTAGCCGCGTGAGGAGGGGCTTACCCTCCAAAAAAAATCCCAGGGAAAGACCTGGGACCCAGCAGACCCATTCTGGCCAGCACATTTGCAGGGTACTAAATCATTGGTTTTTAATACTTTCCAACATTTTTTAGAATGAATACTAAAATTTCATATAAAACCTCGGTTTCCAGAAAAACCCTAGGCTCTAGTGCTGTTGGGTTGCGAAATCACCATCTTAGCTTTAACTAGGTGGTGAGAATTGTAGGGATCAACCATGAGTGAGCAGAATGGGGAGCGAAGCTGTGATAGGAAGCCCTTTCCCTGACACCACCCCTCCCTTACCAGCTCCGAGGACACCACACTGTTTAGAAGATGAGTTTCCTGAAGTCAGGAAGATCCCCACATGGAGCCCAAGCCCGCACCACATCCTCAATGACCAACCTGCCCCAAAGGCAGGGGGCATGAGGCTGACACAGGAAGCATCCCAGAAAGGTCTCAGAAAGCGATCTCATAAAGAAATGCACAGCCCCAGTTCCTTCTACTCAGAACCCCACAAAACATTTCTCTGCTTCATCAGACCAATGGGACGGATTCCCCCAGACTGGTGACACAGAGGGTCATTTTCCCTCCCTTTCGATTCCCGCACTGTTTGTATGTTACCGAATAAATGGGAAAAGGTAAGGAAAATATTATGGAACACACTCTACACAGATAAAATGCAGATGTGTTTCTCAGCCAGTCTTCCACGACGGCTTCTTTTCCTTATGAATTCATCCTCTATTCTAAAGTCATAGTTCTAAGTACATCACAGTTCTTTGCAAAAATAGCGCAGGTGCCTGTCCCACCTTTGCGCACGCTCACTGAGGAGGACCAAGGAGCCAAAACATTTGCAAGCAGGAAGTTTTAACTGGCTATTAGATGCTCCATGGGCTCCTTTTTTTCTAGCTGTCCTCCAAAAGAACAAATGTTTAATGGTTTTTCATGTGTAAAAGCATGCCTCGCTTACAGAAGTGGTAACAGACTGACTCGAGTTGCGGTAGAAGGATCTAGACCGATTTTGTGTGTGTGAGAGAGGAAACCATGCCTCGATGGGGCTCCTCTTTAGGTCTTTAGTTCGCCTTAGGAACACAGGGTGGAGAGAGCCCCGGGAAGGGGCTGAGGGGCTGGGAACGTTGGGGGAGGTGAGCAGGGAGGAGTATGCGGACTCTGGGGAGCTAAGCCTAGAGGACGCCCTCCATGCAGAACTGGGCAGGTACCTGGAGCTGTCGCATCTGCTGGAGCTGGAGCCTGAGTTCGGCCACACTCCGCCTCATGTCGAGCAGGCTCATGTGCAGAGCCGAGGGGCTGGCAGGCAAGGGCTGGCTGGACACCCCCGATGACTCCAGGGCGCCCACAGTCTTGCCTCCGGAAACATGCAGCGTTCCTAGGAGAAAAGAAGAGCCAAGAACTTCAGGGTCCCAGAAAGTGGGAGCTCTGAGTCTCATCCCGACACAGATCACCAGTAACTCCTTCAGTATGAAAAAATTTTAATTATGTCGGTCCTCTAAATGGCGGGGAAAAAAAAAAAGAATTGGGTTTAAATTATGGCACATTCATGCAAGGTTATATTATGCAGTCTGTAAATGTCATGTTGTAGAAGGCAGAACACAGAACTGATGCCACATTAAGGAAGCTAAATTTTTCCTTTCCCCCCTTTCCGTTCCCTACCCTTTCCCCTTCTTTCCTTCCTTCCTCTATACAAGTTTGCACAGAGAAAAGATTAGATGTATATATAACAAAGTATTAACATTCTTTCTAGCTGCTAGTATTCCATGATATATAAAAAATATATTTAATTCAAAAATATATATTTACTTACATATATATATATAAAATATATGTGTGTGTGTACACACACACACACACACACACACACACACACATTTACTTATTATTTTTTTAAGTAGGCTCCACACTGGACATGGAGCCCATTACAGGGCTTGAACTCATAACCATTAGAACAAGACCTGAGCTGAGATCAAGAGTTGGTCGCCCAACTGCCTGAGCCACCCAAGTGCCCTGAGTTTTATATATGTTTATATTTCTACTTTTTGTATCATTAAATCTGCATGACGAATATCTGTAATTTTATAATAGAAAATACATTTTTATAATAGAAAGTACATTTTTTTAAAGTCTGGGACCTAATACCAGGTGCTCACACGGTCGGATGTATTATCTGGACAACAGACACTTAGTTCTGGGCAGATTCAGCCCAGTCACCAAGGGGAAAGTAGTAAGAACAGGGTCTTCTTGTTTATCCCTGTGGGTTTTCAGACCAAAAGAAGCAGGACTTCTGTTCACATCTCGTTTACTGAGAAAATCAGGCATGGTTCAAAAATTCTCTAGGAGAGGAAACAAAAAAGGCAGCAGGAAGAAAATCTTCCTAAATAGTTTTCGAGCTGCCATAAACTTGTGCTTCTTGGGTCCAACTTAAACAAGCCTCATGGATTTCCTAAGTCCATCTGGGAAGGGCCTGATTTGACCGAGGCTGATTCAGAAAATGCCTCCCCAAGGATCTCGAGTAGCATTTACAGGATCAGCAAGGTACAGGAATCAAAAGGAAGTACCACTGTCTTCACAGGACAATGGAGTTCTCTGGAAGAAGCGTCCAGAGTAGACCGAATTTACATCACACACACACACACACACACACACACACACACACAGGCGTGAGCACGCGCACACACCCTCTTCTGGTTAGCTCTCTTTTTTGTAAAGGATAGTCTGCAATAGGGCAGGCAGGCCTTCTGGGACCAAACCCTGTTGCTGCTTTGCACACTCTGAAGTGGGTGCACACAGTGGCCTCTCTCTCCATCTGGGCTCAGCATGCGGGGAAATCCTTCCCCTGTGCACACAGCCTAGCCTCAGGGGAACTGCTGGGGCGGGGGCGGCAGGGGGGCTGACACGCCTGTGGGCCAGGGAGTGCTCACAGCTGTCCTCTCGCCGGCTCCCAGCAATGTCGATGGGCGCTGATGGTCCACCGAATTCCTCACCCTCTGAGGACCAGCCCTCTCGTGGCCCCCTTGGGGCAGTCAGGAGAACAGAATGGAAAGCATTGTAAGGATTTCCGAAGGGACCCCAGCAGGGCAGACAAAGAGCTGTTTGTTATTTGTACAAGCTGACTGGGTACTCCTACCATCCCAGCCATGGCTCTGACCTACGCTGGGCTGCTCTCCCGCATATCTGAAATCATCCCCCCGGAAGAGGAAGACTTGCCATCTCTGCAATGGTCCCAGAGAATATTCTCCAACTGGGAAGGTCTCCGGTACGAGGACATCCAGTAACTGCAGCATGTCCCAATGAACAAGCACCTTCGAGATCAAGGATTCCGAGGCTGGTCACAACACACTGGACGTTTTCCTTTTAGAATCAGCACAGGCAGGTTCTGTGCCCACAGGCAGAGACACACGCGGGCGTGCCACCAACACACACACGCACACGGACAGCATATGGCATCAGGTGTACCACAAACGGTACCATTGAGGTATTTCTCCAAGGAAAATGACACAGGGCTCATTAGCCACCCCCAACTTGGGGTTAAGAATTTCTCTGCTCTTCTTCAGCTAAAGGAAGACACACATGCCTTCTACGTCCCCTCTTCTTAACACGGTGAGGGCGATAGGGCACACACCATCTGGTAGAGCTGAATGCCAATCACTGGTTCTAAAAAGCATCATCTGTCCCCAAATTTCTCTACGGAATCCACACTCATCTGTCCAATTTCTTCACCATCTAATTCACTACATCTGGTTTCTATCTCCATCACCCACTCGGTGGCTCCCTGTGAGACGGCCAGCGGTCAGGTGTTAATCCCACAGATGTGGGGCCGATGTGACAGTGAGCGACATCGGGCTTTGCCTCACTCCCTTCTTTCTCAGTCAGTTTTAAACTCTCCCGTCTCCTTTCTTTTTACCTCTCTGCCACTCCATCTCGGACACTGTCTTTCCTCATTTCTTTCTCAGCCAGTCGTTTAAATCCTGGTGTGTTTTCTTAGAAAGCTTCTCCTCTCACCAGACACATTTCCCAGGGAGCTCACTTCTACTAGGACCACCTACAAATGTCTCCCACACCTTTGTCTCCAGCCTCCAGGTCTCTTCGCATGCACATACCAAGACCTTGACATTGATCCGGGGCTCCTCTACAAGCAGGTCAAAGTCATTATTTCTCTTCCTCTTCCCCAACCCTCTTTGTCTCCAGAGGCCTGATTTTGGCCAGTGGCACTATAATCCACTCAGTTATTTAAATGAGAATCTAGGAATTTATTCTCAGTATCCAACATCCTAGCTGTATGACCTCAGGTAGGTAACACGACCTCTTTCTCAGTTTCCTTATCTGTAAAGTGGGTCAGTGGGCTATGGGGAGGACCGTGGAACTAACACACGTGAACTGCTCATCCCGGTGAACCGGGCCAATGCAGGGAACTGTGATTACTATTTCTCTGAGCAGAGTGGGCAAGAGGAGACCCTGCCAGCCTCCCCGCCTCACCTGGGAGTGTCAGGCAGTAGAAAAGCCGAGACTCACAGCAACGGGCTGAGGTCAAGAGGCAGGGGCCCCGAAATCTTAAAAATGGAGCTGAATTTGGTGGGTGGGAACCAGAGTGTGAAACGAGCTCCCCTTCAGAGGTGATGCACAGGACCGGGATGTGCTCTCCACACCCACACAGGAGGCACGCGCATTCTGCTCCCAGCGCGCCCACACTAGTCCGCACAACCTCACTCCTTTCTAATCATGTCCTCCTTCCCCACCCTCCTCCAGATCTGCCTGAGGTCAAGTACACTGTCAGAGGAATCTTATTAATGCAAATTTGATGCGAGCTTAATGTATCCTGTCATGACAGGAAGAACACGGGCTTGGAACTGGCGGGACTGGCCGTAACGCCCCCTGGCGGTGCGGCTCATATCTTCCTTACAGGATTATGTGTGTGAAATGACAGAATGTACAATATAAGACCCATGGTACGTCTTCGAAAGGGGAGGCTTCTTCTGTTCTCTTAGATCCACCGTAAACCCAATATTCCTCGAGTAACCGGAAATCTGGTTTTCCCTTTTTGATCTACCCTTGGCCCAAAGAGCTCCTTGATGTGTCTGTAATTCCGTGGACTTGACTACAGGAGGTGGATAATACTTTCGGTCTTGTAGCTTACTTCCCAGGATTCCAGAAGAATTAAAGCATTCTGCGCACTGTACAAGGCTGTGATGATAACAAAAGCCCCGTGCACCACGTCTAGCTGTGACCCATGAGAACGAGAGGGACCAAACTCAGCAGGGACACGGGGACCCGGCAACGGACGTGCAGCTGCTGGCAGCATCACCAACCGGCTCAGCCCTTGTGGAGGAGAAAACTGGCAGCGCGTTGCCCATGGTACTCACGTTCATCCCTCTGGATTTACTGATTCCACTTTGGGAAATGCTTCCCGGGGACATCACACCTGCTCCTTTCCCTTTGCTCCAAAACCATTACAAAATCTTTCGCAACAAAGAAGTGAAAACAACCTACACAGCTTTAAGGGGCACCTTAACACAAAAGAATGAGGTAAAATGACAGGTGGGGGCAGGGGAGACCACCACGTGAGTATGTGTCATGTGAGGACATGCGTTTAATGTTCTCATCTGGAGCATGGGAGTAACAACTTGTCCCCATCTAGGGGAGAGGCATCAGGACCTAATGAGTTCCGGCACGAAAAGCACCCAGAACAGTGCCTGGTACGTAGGAGACACTCACAAAACGTTTCCTGTGATTATGAGGATGATGTCACCCAAAGTGAAAGGGAGGAGAAGGAGAATGTAAAAGAGCGTGTGCATCTCCATTAGAACAACAGCATTGGGTACTCAGCGTTCCTAGAATAGAATCCAGGGGCCTGGAAGGTTGTAGCGTTCACTAGTTCACCAGGCCTCTTTTGTTCTCGCCAGCTTCGTGGACACGTAATTGACACAGAACACTGTGTAACTTTAAGATGTACAATGTGTTGATTTGATGATACACTTACACATTACAGTATGATCACTACGGTAGCGCCACCTAACATGCCCATCATATGTCCCGTAATTGCCGCTTCCTTTTTGTGGTGAGAACGTTTAAGATCTACTCTCTTGGTAACTTCCGAGTATATAGCTGAGAAGTGTTCTCTATAATCACAACGCTGTGCTCATAGTAGATGACCCAGAACTTGTGCATCTTCTAACTGGAAGCTGACACTTTTGACCAACTCCTCCCCATTTCCCCCAACTTTCAGCCCTGGCTAACCACCGTCTCACTCTGTTTCTTCGAGTTCAATAGATTTCTTCCCCCACTTACGTTCACAATAGATGAGAAAATAAATTAACCAACAGACATCTCCCAAACAAACTGGCAACTGGTCTGAAGCCAAGTTTAGCAATTTCCGCAAAATAATTCTCTGGCTGCGGCCAAGGTCACCGATTGATTTCTAAGTAAACCGACAAATCCCATGAGGCCTGGAAACACTGGACAATCCAGCCCGGCCAGCTTCACAACTGAACTGTCTGTACTTAGCCAGGGAGGAACAAGATCGACCAGAGGTCTCAGGGGCAGCCCCGAGATCTGTCCGTTCTACCATGCTGTGTAACATGCTGTGGCTTCCCCAAATTAGGGGTTTCACCCAACTGGCCACATGCTTCCTGTGTCATTCAGTAGCTGAACATGTCCCTGGTAATAATTTCTATTTCTAATCCAACGCAAGAGAAGATCTCATTTTCTTGAGAGGAGGCCTGCCTTGAGCCGGCCGCATAAAGTGGACATCAAATAAACGTGGATATTGGTGAACTCCACTGGGAATATAACTGGGCTTCTGGCAGGGGGGAATGCTGGCATTTACAAAACTGGCCCTGGTCGGAGCACACCTTCCCTTCCCACCTCGACCACGGGCTCCCTTCCAGTTCATTCCCATTCTTTAGCTGGGCTGAGCTCCTTCCTCCCTGTGGAACATTCCAATGGCTTCACTTTGCACTTAGAATAACATCTAAATTCCTTTCCCCAGCACTTACACATGCCTCCCTGCCCCCTGCCCCAACTCTTAACCTCATCTCTCACTCACCTAAGTAGTCCCCATTCATCCTTGGGGCCTCAGCCTCTGTCGCTTCCTCCGGGCAAGGTCTCAGTCGAGGCCAGATCTGTCGGTTAAATAGTCACCCTGCACTCCGTCTTACCACTCGTAATTACTTGTTCTGTATCTGTTTTCCCCATAGGCTTAGGAATTCTAGGCGGGCAGCCCTGTCTCAGTGATGCCCACTGTCCTTGCCCAGTGCCAGGCACACATATTTGTCGGATGTGGGACCATATACTTGAATAAATGAAAGAAGAGTGAATGGACGAAGAAAAACGGAATGGAGAGGACCAAAGGGCTTAGGCCACGCCCTCCCCCTGAATTAATTAGTGACTACTCTGGAATTTCCGCATTAAGCTGGGAAGGGGTAGTGGTGGTGGTTGGGGTTGTGGGGGGGGGGGGGCGTGATCCAGAAAGCCTCTGAAATCCAACCAATTACGCAGCTCGGAAATGCCCCGAAACCACCCAAAGCGAATCCAAGGCAGCCCGCCGAGGCTCGGAAAAACACTTACCTGCGCTATCCGTGTGGCTCTTACTGGCTGTGGTTTTCATCATTTTCTCGCTGAATAAAAGAAAAAGAGAGTCAGCTACACAGTTTCCAAATTTTTTCTTTTTTTTTTTTTTTTTTTTTTTTTGGCCCCTTCCATTCACTAGTCTAAGCGATTAGCGGCAGCTTGTGATGGTATCAAGCAATGAGGGTATTTGAGCATCAGCATCACCACTGGCCGGGATGGAAGAGGCTTCCCAGGTGTGGATTTGCCACTGCGGGTGGAATGCAGCGGAGCAGCACTCATGACTTTCAGATGGGGCGGACGTGGAGACGAGTGGATGGCGCTCGCGGGCACGGCGCTGGTGTCTGTGAAGCCACATGCACTGGGAAGCCCATTTACCCTTCTTGGGCCAAAGTGTTACCTTCGACCAAGAATTACCAGAAGGAAAACAAACAAACACACCATGATTCATAGAGATGGGAATATTTTCAGCCTTGAGATGATTACAAGAAAAACGGATTTGAATGAATGGATTATCGTAATGATTAAAGAGAAACAGATCGAATTATTTTTCATTGGTTTGCTTTCTTCTTTTTACCTAGACGCATCTTTGCTATTACTTGTAATGGGCCCTTTAAAAAGCGCCGACTGAACAAGGCCAGTTAAACTGGCAATCTGTTTCTCCATGGCTTGCATCCTCTCTCTGTAAAACAAGAGAATTGTTGGTTAAAGCTATTATTGACTTTCAGACTGGTTTGTCTAGGTGAATGATCCGCTGAGGGTTATAAAATGGACCACCTAGGAGGCTGCCAAAGTTCATCCCATCCCGGCCCCAGGGACGTGAACAGCCTACAAATCCTTGCTGGGTTCAAGATTCAATGATCAGAGTTTAATATTAACCCACTGAGCTCACTGAAAAAAAAAAAAAAAAACAACACCAGACAGAGGAGCCAGCCCAAGCCTCCTGGAAAACGGAAAAGTGCTTCCTTCTGAAAGGACTCTGTTTGCCCGCAGGGTTTTTGTGACTTTCTGCCCTGTTACTGCAATTTGATCGCTGATACCGGCCATGTCCTAGGCTAGCTGGGGCCCGGTGGCACAGACTTGCAAGCTGTCCTCATGGGCTGGGAGGCTGTCACCTAGGTTTCCGTGTCAATGATGGAGACGCTGGCCGAGTGAGGAGTACAAATTGTTTCACAGCCCAAGAGCGACAAAAATGGATGTCTCCGAAGGAAAAACAGGACTGGAATCACTGTCTGACTTGGGGGAAGGTGCTGCCGAGTCTAATGTTGTAGGAACCTTAATCTGGGGGCTTTCACAGGATCCAGCAGGAAGACGAATATCCCTGACAACTTGACCATCTCAAGACACAAGTGAAAAATCCCCCCATGAGGAACCGTGCACAGACACTGCCCCCCTCTGTCTGGGGCTCTCTGAGGTCACGGCACCGTCCGTCTGGCCTTTCACACAGGCTCCCCTCTCCGAGCCCTGGCCAATGGCAGTTTCGCAGAACGATGACCGTTATTTCCAGCACGTGATAAAAACACCACCACAACAGAGTGACCTCCCCTGACCAAGGATGGTGGGCAGCAATGGTTGTCACTGCCAGTGAAATGCAATGACATGTACGTGGTGGTTTCAAACAAGACATGGAGACAGCGGAGAACAGTCTCAGTAGTGGGGGTACCTCGCCTGCCAACGTATCCCCTCAGCAGGTGTCCCAGCGGGGGATGGCTCGAGACAAAGACGTGACCCCACTCTCCACCACGGTCCCCCACCCCACAGGCCCCTGGTAGTGTTAGCCCTGGGGATTCCTGTACTACAAATAGCATATTCAGACATCATAGCTTTTAAGCACAAGCCAACTTCTTTATCTGGTACCGCATGGAAAAAACATGGCGGCCTGTTCTTTCACTAGAGAACAAACAGCTGGTTGAGTTGGACTAATCCAGAGATGACGTATCTGTATCTCCAACTTCGCAAAGGTAATTCTGTCTGTACAAAAACCCTCTGGCCTTGCTTTTTGCCTTAGGAGTACAACCCGTAGCGCCATATGAAACACTGAGCTTAATTGCACAATTACGACTTTGACTTCACAGTCGCATGCGTTTTCTTTAGGTTAAAATAGGTTAGGTTAGGTTAGATTAGGTTCTGACACAATCCCGAGTTTCTTGGATGTAAGTCACGCGATCTGAATAGTCACTGGTTGTGAACACAGTAAGGAAAAGTATCCAGCTGACGTGTTAAATAGTATGATCTCTTTGCTCTAATGCAAGAAACTGCGGTAGAGAGAAAAAATTGCAAATAGAGTGGAAGTTCCTGGAGTGAATTTCCAGATGCTTCCAGGCAGAGTAGTGAAGGCTGAACTGAGCGGCATAGCGTTTTGAGTCTTACCTGTGTTTTTGGCCACCTCTCTGCCATTAGACAGTGCATGTCGCAAACAGAGAACTCAGTAAGAAATTCTAATCAAGAAATCAGGTTAGTAAACCTCCAATGGCAATCCCAAGTTTATCAGACCCAAGTGGCCAAGGAAAGATGGTGGTGGTCGGTCATGCTGCCTGCCAAGTGGGAGAAAAAGACTGAGACAAATGGTCTCTTGAGAAATGAATGATGTCCAGGAGATCTGCCGAGCAGCAGAAGAAAGTCGTTCTGGGTCCCCATTCTTCCCACAGTAATGCTGGAGTCAAGCTCATGACCTCGAGTAGAGGGGCACTCAGAGATCCTTGAGATGATACTAGTTCACAGCTCTTACTCAATCCTAGGCACATGCAAAAGATCCCTCCTTCCCTCCCTCCCGCCCACCCCGCCTTCCTTCCTTGAGTGACACCTCATTTTTAGAGTCTAGGCAGCCTTGGTTAGGAAATGGCTTAAAGGAGCCTGTGAAGCTGGAGCGTGGGATAGGAAGGCACGGTGGCAACCCAACCAGACAGGCGACAGCGATGGTGAGAACCAGCTAAGTCTACGACTATAAAGCACTGAGTGAGAACCTGACAGGAGGAAATGGCGGAAGGGATTCCAACACTGGCTCTGGGCGCAACCCCGAACAGGTCCCTTTCTGATCACTCTCTGGTCACCAGCTTTCATTACCCCGTTTGCAAGGGACGGCAGCAACATCAAAAACCAAGCAAAGCGCCTGAATCATTCAGAGTCAGAACACCGCTCTTCAACTGATTCATTCCCATGGGTCCTCTCCACACAGGCGTCCGAAGGGCTTCGTACATGCCTTTCGCTTTTTCCTTGGCTCAGTGGGTCCTCAGCTGCTCACTGGGCTTCCCCGCACAGTGGTTTTAGGATGCAGAGAAAGATGACACCCAAATCTCACTCCACTCTTCCTTCCTCATCAGACATGATGTTGACATAATCACCCAACTGCCCGGGATAAGAGTTTGGGATACTCTGGAGCAAAGCCCTATTCTCGGCCCTATACACACACATTTGGTTCGCCCTTTCTCTCTCTGAGGGCAGCTGTCAAAGCTCCCTGCGTGGCCTCCTCTGGGCTATGTCACTGGTGGGGCCACCAGGAAGGAGACATGATCTGTCAGAGCCCTGAGAGTACAGAATACTTGAGCCTGACGGCCAAGGTCAGGAGACAACTCTCTCCCATTGTCCAGGAAACAGTGGGGCGTGCATGTGACAGACCCATGTGATTGTACACGCGTGTTCCACAGCATCGACCCAAACTGCTTTACAAAAATACAATTCTTTTGACACATGGTAATGAGAAAACTTTTTCCCCTCCTATTTAATCATCAAAGTGTTTCTGGTTTCAGGATTCATTTGAGGGAGATTATCTGATTTATAAATTCATAAATAAGATTGTCTTTCCATTTCATGGTTGGTAATCTGGAAACAATTTTATGGTTTAACTAAATTACAGCAACTGGAAACTTACGCAGCCTTCTCCCATGATGAAATGTTATGAAGTATGTTTTAATGTGAAAAGGAGAAAGGAGAAACGCAGCGGAAGACGAGAAATTAAATATGATCCTGTCATTTTGTTGCAGTGGCAATTCTGTATGATAACCATCAGAATATGAAAGACACTTCAGCCAATGCTTGCCAATATTCCTTGGCTTAAGGTATTACAGGACTGGTATAATTACTGTTGAAAAGATGGTTTAAAAGTGATTTCATAAACCATTTTGTATCATTCCATAAGCCATATTTATGTGATTAGTATGTATGGTTAACTAGTCATTTAGGGCCGTAAGTCAGCCTGGCTGAATGCATCTTCTTGGGGCCCAAGCATAATATTAATAAAAAAACTCAAGTCCAATCCAGGGAAAGTGCTGATCCCAGTATTTAAACTCCCTCTGCTACTACCAGCTTTCCTTGAAAGCCCACGTCTGCCTGTGATGAGGCAAAGCCCAGACTGTGCGTGGTCTGCTCTCTGTCTTCAGGAGACAGGGAAGGAAAGAGTCTGCATTTGGGGGGAATACGTTTAGCCAATAACTCCACTTATCCAACTTTTGGATTCAAGTTTTCACCTTCAGCCTTTTTTGACCTGGGACTGGCCTCTGTGCTGACCCAGGCCTCATTAAACCTGAATTAAGTCCTTATTGTCTTATCTCTAGGTAAATTAATGACTATTAAAAAACAAGTCTGTGCCATAACAACTAGGAGACTGGTAATTTTATAATGAATCCCTAAAGGTATGTTTTTAGCCATCCAGAAGGAGCGTCGGGGAGCTGAGGGAAAACAGCTGGCTGAGCTGACGGGACCAACCCCAGTGGAGGGTCGTTCACCTTCCGAATCAGTTACCAACGCTGAGCCCACTGGCTCAGGATAGTCAGTAACGACGACGATTGGGGGGTGGGGGGCTGGCCTTCTGGGAGTGCTTCCCAGAGGGCCCATCAATTCATTTCCAGTTCCGATATTCTGTGACTATTTTTACTGTCTGTTCCTGATCATTCCCTGTCATCTCTATCTCCCCACAAAAGTCATGAACAGCAGACAAGCCATCAGCAGATGTTTTAAAGCACGTTACTCTGTGCTAGGCACAGAATAAGCTGGTGTGGACGAGACAGTGTATAAAGCATCATCATTCCTTCCTCAGAGTCACTTTTTGTTTGTTTGTTTGTTTCTGGGAGAAAATCTAAGTGAACTAAAACCCTTTAGTCTTGGCAGTGCCAAAGGCATTTTCCAGAACTGAATAGCGAACAGGCTCAAAGCTGGGCTATGCCCTTGTTTGCTCATGCCCTGATTCTCTGGTATGAGGGGGGAAAAAAAAACCAAAGTAATTAAAGTCACTGTTTTCAGAAGAGTTCAACAGAACACTGGAATTCAAATGATCTGAATTTGTGGTAAAGCTTCAAATAGGACTCTGAGCAGTGAACTTTCTATTTCTGCCCGAAGTTAACCTATCGGTAAAAGAACTCTCTAACTAAAAACATTCCTCTGAAAACGCCCAATCAATCTAACCGCTCACTGAAACCTCTAGATTTCTTGAGGAGACACTGTGGGCGTGGCCAGTAACTGGCTGCCATGTTCGGTACGCATTAAGGTCGTCCCCCCACCACTGCATGTGACCATGTCTGGCACTTTCTTGTGTTCTCAGTCCTTGGACGAAAACCAGTTACAGAGGGTCACGAAGAAATGGTGTTGATAACATTGACCTTGAAGGCTGCTCTCTCCCCCCCTGATCCTCTGCCCATGGAGAAAGAAGACTGGGTATGCACCATGTTTCCTTTTACTGCTTCGGCCCAT